ATATATATATATATATATATATATATATATATATATATATATATATATATATATATATATATAGGCAGGCATCAAGGAAAAGATGTTATATTAAGTCTATGCTCTAGTATAGGATAGCAGATTAATATAAAATCAAAATTAATGATCGTCTTTATATTAGTTTACTCTTGATCATTACTAATTACACATCAACCGAAGCTGCATTTTTCCGCCCCTGTATATATATATATATATATATATATATATATATATATATATATATATATATATATATGTATGTATATATATATATAATATCTATGCATTCAAATACCCTAGTTTTCCTCCTATGGTACAGCAGTGTTGCTGCAGCTGCATACAGTAAACATGCATGCATCTGCAGCCGCATTGTTTTCTGGATGCAGCAGCAACGCGAGTGCTACGTGTACTAAACAGAATCCCCTGACTCTCTCCTGTACCTGCTGCAACATCTCGGTAGAGGGAGGTTGCTGCTGCTGCTCTTCAACTCAGTCTGTCTATACGGCCGCATACATTCCTCATGCTGCCTCAGGTGTGCATACAGCTGAACATGGCTTGCAGGTACAACCGTTTCCGCTGCCTCTGCGTTGTCTTTCTGTGCTATCTCAGCTTCTTTTTCTGTTGAGTCGTACGCAGTAAAAAGTAAAATTAAACTTCCCTTCAAGCTCTCATGTTCCTACCGGTTATAATTTGGTTTATTTTCTCTGTAGTTACTATGCTAAAGTATGCGGATCTACAGCACTGCCTATACACCCGGAGATGCACGCCATTGCAGTGTACGTACAGCAACGCCAGCGCTGCACGGCGGCTTCTTTGAGCAGTCTAAGGGGTTATTACAGTCTCTTATATTTATAATTTAGTTATGAGTATTAGTTTGGTTAAGGGGATGGATGCGTCAACATATTCTATTGAATATGTTTTCGTATCTCATCATCGGTTTGTCTGCCTTGCTGCAACCAAAATGAGGTTGGCTTTGCTGAACTGAAATTCCGGTGTCTAAATTTCCCTAATAAGGATAAATTTAATTTGTTTTAACTACAAAAAAAAAGAAAACAAAGAACTGACGGCGGTGTAGAGGCCCCTGGTGGCGGCTGCAGTCTGTGCTGGTACGGGGGGGGGGCCCCAGGGGGTCCGTTCTGTATGAATGCAGCGGAGATTTTGATTCAGCAATAAGACTGTGATTAATTAATTATTTTTATTCATAAAATAGTTTATTAAGCGCTTCAGAAGAACCCATAGAAGTCAGGTGTACGTACACCGCAGGCTCTCGCCGGTGTGTGCACCGACGGGTCACCGCCCGGCGAGCTGCCTATACACCTGAAACTGCTTGCATTTCGACGGGGGAAAACGGCAGATAAATAAATATGTTTGAGTATTAATTGATTGAAATTAATTAAAAGAGTTTATAAATTCATATTTCACTGACACAAGCGAAGGGGAGAAGCAGCAAAGGGGGCTTAGCGCTCGCAGCGACCCGCCGCTGTCTGCTTTCCCTCTCCATGCCTTGTCTTTCTATGCATTTGCATTCGTTGGTTGTTGTTATCTCTCTACTTGTTGCATATAATTATTCTTAATATTCTTTTGGCGTTATTAACACTTTACTCGTGGTGTATCTCAACAATCTTGCACGTCATATTTCAACGTATAGGCCCCGCTCTGCCTAGTGGACCACTGGTCAGTTCTACATCTCAGTCTCAGCAGCAGCTTTCTACCACTTGTACACCGCAGCTCATCATTGCTGCATCATTATTTGTTGTATGCGTACAGTGCAGCAGCGTGTATGCGGCAGACAGCAATAGCAGCAGCGTGCATCTGGGTGCTGGTGTATTCGTTTAGGGTTTAGGGTTTAGGGTTTAGGGTTTAGGAGTGTCTGGTGGTGAGCGTTGTGTTTCTGTGTTTGTTGGTTTGTGCGTTATTAGGATTGATTCTATAGATTTGCTTCAACAATGTACCGCTTTGTATTTTTGTTTTTTTTGTTTATACTGCTGCTGTTTTCTCTGCTTAATGTGGGGTGTACATTCAGCTTGTGGACGATGTCAGACGATAACACTCGCCAAGCCGCATCAGAGGCAATGGAGAAAAGTAAAGAAGCCTGCAGCGGTGCTGCTCAGGATATAAAAGAGAAAGCTAGTGATATGAGTCAAGCAGCAAAAGAGAAAGGGTGTGCAGCAGCAGAGTGTACGAAACAAAAAGCTCACGATATAAGTGAAGCAGCAAAAGAAAAAGGAGCAGCAGCAGCAGAAGCAGCAAGTGAAAAGACACACGAAGCAAAAGAAAAATGTGGCGATGCATGCAGCTCTGCTGCTGAGGCTTCTAAGGAGAAAGGAGAAGAAGCAACAGAACAAAGTCAATCCATAGGTCAAGCAATAAGCGAGAAAGCTCACAGCATGAAGGATGCTGTTTCTGAGGCTGTAAGCAACACAGCAGCAGCAGCAAAAGACAAAGCTGTTGCAGCAAAGGATACAGTAGCTGAGGGGGTATCGAAGCTGAGGAGTGACGCGGCGGACTTCATCTCCCCTAAATAAATAAATAAATTAAATAAATAAATATAAAAAATAAAAAAAAAAATATAAACCCAGCATCAAAAAACACAGCGTCATCCTCTGTACACTACTCACAGCATATGTATAACAGTAACAACACTTTTGGCAGCGGCTTCTTTCCTTTGGCCAGCTAGCTGGTAGCTGCTCCCTGTGGCTAGCTAGCTAGCTAGCTAGCTAGCTAGCTAGCTAGCTAGATAGCCACATATGTAGCTAGCTAAGCTACTACTACTCCTGGCTTCTTTCCTCTTTGCAGTGTTTTCTCCAGCCTATATGGGTTGGTGATGAGCTCTAAGGCGACTCAGGCGGTGGTGTGGGGTTGAGGTGTACATACACCTGAATATATATATGAGGTGTACATACACCCCATCTATCTATGAACCCTATATATACACCACAGAACTGCTGAGGGAGGTTAGAATTATAGGGGTGGTTGTTGAGGTGTATAGGCAGCTCAGCAGCAGCAGTTGAGGTGTATATACACCTCAGCTGAAACACCCCGGGAAGCTAACAGCCTGTTGTTAGCCACGCAGCTTAATCCATTAAACTCTGACATTCGTTCTTTTTCATTCTTACACCCACATCCTGCTGCTGCTGCAGCTGCTGCTGCTGCTGCAGCTGCTGCATCCGTTGCTGCGCCTGTTGCTGCTGCTGCTGAAATAGTGTAGGTATTAGGTTGTATTAGCTGTTAGTGGTTGTTGAGCTGCAAGTACCTTACTGCTGCTGCTGCTGCTGCTGCTGCTGCTGCTGCTGCTGCT